TGATGAGATGGATCGATTCTGTGAGTGGAGTGGTGGGAATGAATGTGTTTGAGACAGCGAGGTTGGCACAGAATAGAACAGCATTTAGGGCTCTTGTACGTAGGGTCGCTATGAGTCGCAAGTGACTCAGTGGGCACATAAGAACAACAACAGTCTCCAAGAGAGCTCTGGTGACCCAGTGGTAGGGAGCTGTGTTGCCAATCCAAAGGCAGGCAGCTCGAATCCTCCAGCTGCTCTGAGGAAGAAAGAAGGGTAACCTCTCATGTGACTTACAGCTTCTGAAAACCTTTTAGAGATTCAGCTATGAATCCCACGTGACTCAAAGTTTCTGAAAATTTACGGAAGGATCTACTCTGAGTCGGTTCCCACTTGATGACAGTGAGTGAGCGAATCTGCAAGAGTGGATTCTTCCTTCCACAAGAAAGAAAATCATTTTAATCTTACTTGAAATATTCTCACTCGCTGTGCTCATAGTTACCCTTCATTGAGTTTCTAAAGTTGTAAATCTTAACGGGAGGAGATTGCCTATCTTTCTCTTGTAGAGCTGCCGGTGGTGTCAGATTGCTAGAGAGATCAGCTTTGGGTTCGCAGTACAGTTCCCTGTGGAGGGTGACACTTGCGTCCTTTAACATATTCTAGTATATGAAAAAAGATTGGATGTTTATAAATTCTTTTTATAAAATCTAAGTAATGCTGATTTTTCAAAAACCTTAAATATACCAAAAGAAAACACAGAGACCCATTTTCATACTCCCTACTTATGAATATTGATGCAGAAATACATGCAAATAGGATCCAGCAATGCATTAAAAAGACTAGATATGTCATAGCTTGATATATTCTAAAATGCCAGAATGGTGCCTATTTATGTGAGTTGGATAAAGATGTAAAAATTTGCAATTATCTTAATGCTTAGTTTTTAAATCCCATGTTGGGAATAGAAGTAAAAGGCATTTCCTTATGCTAATGAAAATTTTTCTCTCTCAAATTAACTTCTAGCATCATCATGAGTAGTAAAAGACTTTAAATATTTTCATTAAAGTCAGAGATAACAACAGGGTGATTTAACTACTGATTAGTGCTTGTTCATTATCTAATATTATTTGAGCACTAGCCAGTATAATTAGCCAAGAAAATGAAACATACAGTGTAAAAATTGGAAAACAGGAGAAACAAAACATTAGCCAAATACAATTAGTCAAGAGTTATAAAACAAGAGTTAAAAATAATGGAGGACAGGGAAATGTATCATTATTTAGAAGTAATAAAATGAATGGAAACCTTGTAATCATGAACAGTATTTCTTGAATATTTTGTACATGCTAAGCACTGCAGTATAAAACAGCTAGAATTATGTCGAGTTGAGTACAACTCATAACAACCCTATGAACAACAGATCAGCACCTCATAAGAAGTACATTTAGGAGGGGGGCTTAATCATAGGGTCGCACCATTTGATGGGTGGAGGGAGAGGTGGGTAAAGGAAAGGAGAAAGATCCTGAGTGAAAAACAATGTATACAAACCTTGTAAGTAAATCAGTATAAAATACAAATTTTAAAACAAAGAAGTACATTAGGAAAACTACAAAATTCATCTAAAGGTTATAGAAGAAGATAATCAAATAGAGAAATCTATTCTGATTTTGGATGTTGTTGTTACGTGCCGTTGAGTCGACCACGACTCACAGTGATCCTGTGCACAATAGCTCTGAACCCTGCTCTGTCCTGAGCCAGCCTCACTGTCTCTGACACACCTACCCTCATTATCCCCGTTACTATGTCAATTCATCTCATGGAGAGGAGAGATCTTCCTCTCCTGCTGACCCTCCACCCTTCCAAGCATGATGTCCTTCTCCAAGGACTGGTCTTGCTGACCAATATGTCTAAAGTATGTGAGACAGAGCCTCAAAATCCTTGCCTCAAGGAACAACTTGGTTTCCCCCTCTCCAGGACAGACCTGTTAGGGGTTTTTTTTCTTTCTTTTTTTTTTCTCTCTCTTAGTTCTTTTGACAATCCATGGTATGTTCAGTAATCTTCAAAAGCACCAAAACTCAAAGGCATAAATTCTTCTTCTGTCATCTTTGGTCATTGGCTAGGAAGACTGTATTAATTCCTAAAATAGTTTTCACTCAATGCAATAACAAAGAATTTTCAGAAACATTTTTTAGATAATTGGGGAAAATGTTGTCAATATTTATCAATAAAATTACTGAAAATGGCTAGGGAAATTCATGTGGCATGAATTTAGGTGTAGACAGAGAGGGAGCAGCAGAGCTGTATGTAACAATCAGAATCAATGCCCTGGACTGGACTTATGGGTGCCAGTGCTCAGTTTCCAAGTTCAACAGCTGATTCTTCAGCAAAAGGGATGTGTTTGTTCTTTCAGAGCCCTGGCTTGATAGGGACAGGCAGATCAGACTGGCTGTCTAAATGGTGCTGAGGTCACGCAGCATGAAGTAGCTCTGGTGTATACACTTTCACGAATGTAGTTATTAGTAATATGATTGCGAGGGGGGAAGCCCTCAATATACTTGAACAAAACATCATGTAAATGAAAAATTGTATAAAACATGATATACATGCAGCTGCACTGCAATCCCAGAGGTATGTGGTTCAAATCCACCAGAAGCTCTGCTGGAGAAGGAGGGGCGATCTCCTCCTGTACCAGTCAGATAAGATTTGACAGTACACACACAAAAAATAATAAAATAAAATTAAAGAAAAAAAACCCACAATGTACATCCATGAAACGCAATGTATGAATGATAAAAATACTCACTTTTTCATTCAGAAGCAAATATAAATAAGTATGTTGTTATTGTTGTTGTTGTTGTTGTTGTTGTTGTTATGTGCCATCAAGTTGTTTGTGACTCATAGTGACCCTGTGTACAACAGCCCTAAACCCTGCTCTGTCCTGTGCCAGTCGCACTGTCTCTGACACACCCATCCCGATTATCCCAGTCACTGAATCAATCCACCTCATAGAGGGCCTTCCCCTCCTGCGCTGTCCCTCCACCCTCCCAAGCATGATGTCCTTCTCCAAGGACCAGTCTTTTCTTACAACATGTCCAAAGTAATAAAAATGTCCAAAGTGTAATAAATAGCCTGTAAAATTGTGAGTTGCTCATGTGCTTACTCTTACGTAAAGTGGGACCAGAAACATACTCACTAAATGTTAACCGTGATGATGGGCGTCATGAAATTAGAGGCAACTTTTACTTTCTTCCTTAAGTTTTGTGTTACTGACTTTTTTACAATCATGTTGTTGTCGTTTGCCATCAACTTGGAAATGACCCATAACTGACCCTCCAGTGAGTTTTCAGAGCAGTAAATCACATGGGAGGAGACTGCTCATCCTTCTTTCATGGAGTAGTTGGTGGATTCGATCCACGTGCCTTTGAGATTGCAGCACAGCTTCTTACCACTAGGCCACCAGAGCTCCTTTTTATATGCATATCATCAGGAAACACACAGGCCTTTGTCATCTTGTACAACACCCAGTGTCCACTGGGGGCCTGAATTGTTCTGCTCTTGGCTGCACTGGCCAACCTGGCCATGTCTGGGCTTCAGCCGTGCCTGCCCCAGCAGCGCTGACAACATAGGCACCCAGGGGCCCTGCGGGCAACCAGCAGAGCTCAGGACTGGCGGGCGAGGTCTCTCCTGGGGCCCTCACTGACGTGTGCAGTTGCCTGGCCAGGGAGCCACAGAGCACACGCCGGCTGTGAAAATGTCAGGAGAAGCAGGGATGCCCAGAAGCTGATGGAGAAGCTGCAGGTGGAAGAAGGCAGCCAGCACCCTTGGGGTCTCTGTCGACTCACAGATGTGGTTTAAAGCAGAGATGAGGAGCTGGTGAGAGACAACTTGTAGCATTTTAGAAACTTGGCTCCTGGTGTCTGAAGAAGAGCAGAAATTTGACTCTCTGCAGCTGATCCTAAGCTGCGTTTCCTAAACTTTGTGCCTACAAACTGCCTTTGCTGTCAGTTCAGATGTTTGGCGTAAATCAGTTCATTAGTTTCTGTTTGTCTAAACAGATTTATTTAAAACAAAAACCCCTTTGGCTCCATGGAGCTCAGAGGAGGTCTGAGTTCCATGAGGTTTTCTGAGCTGTAGTCTTTACAGAAGTGGAAGGCCAGGCCTTTCTCCACCGCTCTTCAGGGTGGGTTCAAACTGCCAACCTTTTGGTTAGTAGTAGAGTCATGTGCAAACTACGTGTATCACCGTTCTCTCTCCCAACAAAAGGCAGTTCCACCCCAAAGTGACCCTTCTCAGTCCTAATGGAGCAGACTGCCACACCCCTCATCTCTCTTGCTAACTAGCTAGCTCTCAGAGTGGCTGGTGGTTTCAAACTGCTGACCTTTTAGTTAGCAGCCAAGTACCTAACCAGTGTCCCATCAAGCTTCACTCTGTGCCCCCCAGGGACCTCTAAGTTCCTTGCAAAGAGAAAGGATTTCACATTATTATAATTCAAAAATAACATTCTTTCCTGTGAAACAATAGGTAATTGTACAAAGTAAGATGAGTAATAGATAAGAATAAAATAGAAATAGATATAAAAAAATGGAAAAACCAAAGCAGTCTTAGATTCTTTCTGGCAGAAGGTTGTACACTGGGCCTGCACACTTTCCTCTCTGTTAAAATGGGAGTTAGCATGTTTTCAAAAGTCTTAAAGATAATATTTGGTTAAACCTAAGACTTGCTCTTCCATGTAAAAGAAGATGCTTCCTCGCTGTGTCTGTCTGCCCTCCTATTTGCATACGTCATGAGGTCATTTCACAAAGCTGCGAAGGCACACACCCCTGCTCGGAGAGCTGGATGATGATGTCGAGTTCAGCCTCAGCCCAGGGACGTCCCCTCACCACAGCTCTCCCCTCTGCATCCCGTCCTCCTGGGTCAGAGCTAACAGGGTTGTGGTTAGAGCTCGCTGCCCGGAGCAGGCTGCATCTGCCGAGGCTCAAGGCACTGAGGGTCAGGGTGCCATCTCCCTCCACCCTCACCTGCAGGCCTTCGAGGACATCTACCTGGAGGAGCGGAAGACCATCAAGGTGCTGCTGGAATATGCCGACAAGATGTTCACCTACATCTTCGTGCTTGAGATGCTGCTCAAGTGGGTGGCCTACGGCTTCAAGAAGTATTTCACCAACGCCTGGTGCTGGCTGGACTTCCTCATCGTGGACGTGAGTGCTGGCCGCCGAGGGCGCAGCGGAGGGCGGGCGAGCCGAGCAGAGGGGCGCGTGTCGGGGAGGAGGGGAACAGGTGGGCTGGGGAGGAGAGATTACCCAGCCATGCCAAGGGGCAGCAGAGTCCTGGAGGGAAAGCCAGGTCGGTTCTCAGGGCCCAGGACTAGGGGGAAAAGACGAATGGAAGATACAGCCCTTGACATAAAAAACTAAACTTCATACTTGACTCAACAGCACCTAACAACCACCTAGGCAGCTCTGGTGACCTAGTGACAAGTTGCACTGCAATCCTGAAGGCACATGGTTCGAGGCCACCAGTTGCTCTGTGGGAGAAGGACAGGCAGTCTCTTCTCATGCGATTAACTGCCCCTGAAAACCTGCTGGGGGGTCAGCTATGGGTCAGTTCCAAGTCGACAGGACACAGCAACCACTGCCATCAAGCTGATTCTATCACATTGCGATTCCACCATTGGATTTCCGAGGCTGTAAATTGTTTCAGGAAGAGACTCCCCATCTTTCTTTCTCCCAAGGAGCAGCCAGTGGATTCGAACCAAAAGCCTTTCAATTAGCAGCCCAGCATGTTATGATCTGCACCACCAGGCCCCACTGGCCTCAGGAGCGCTGAGCCTTGGGGGTGATAGAGTTCTCATGACGGGGAGGGGCAGGGCTCGCCTCAGAGAGAAGTGAGTAAACCAGCATGTGTTGAAGGTTTCGTCACCCTGAATTGTGACAGATCTCCAGGCCCCCAGGACAGATGACTTGTAAAAAGCCTCCGTGCGCACAGGAGAGGGTGCCTTTCTGTCTAGAGTGATTCCGTGAGCCCAGAAGGGAGAGGTGGGTGAGGGGGTGCTGAGCGGGCATACCACGCTCCTTGCTCAGGTAGAAGGTACCGGCAATAGGACATGAGAGCCAGGTGGAGTTGCCTGTGAGAAGGAGGAAGACTGGACTGGACACTGGCTGTCTTGAGCTGCTGCCGTGGTCTACAAGGCGTCTGGGCGGGCTTGCCTGCCCCAGCTATGGCCAGCAAAGGCCTGGACAAGAAGGCTGGTAGACGGAGTGGGGGAGCGCCTGCCCCACAGCGCCTTGGAAACCAGGATGCCGCTGGCCATCAAGTAGGCCAAGCAGGGCCCATCCCATGGGAGTCCTGAATCAATCACAGTCATGACCATGACGGAGCATAACTGGAGGGGAAGAGGGAGCAAACCAAGGTCAAGGCCGCACTCCCTGTGGACAGAGGGCATCACGGCAGCCTGAGGGCCCAGCTGAGTGCGGGCTGTAGCCGGTTCCTGAGCAGAACAGGGCCCAGCCTCAGTGGGTCACAGAGGTGTGCAGCTTGGAGACAAAGTGGGGGCTTTTATGTAGAATGAAACCAAGAGTCACTATTGGACTTGAACCAGAGCCCCATCAGCTGACGCACGTACTTAAAGGCTCATTGCAGGGGGAAAGGGAGGGGTGGCGAGTGGAAGCAGAGAGAAGAGTTGGGAGCTGGTGGCCGCAGTCCAGGGGGAGGGATGACGGTGGCCTGGCAGCGGTGGTGAGGAGTGTTTGGACTTGGGATTCAGTTTGAAGGTAGAGCCAACAGGAAATCCTGAAGGTCTGGACATGGGGTGTGAGATACAGAGAGGAGGCCGGGATGGTGCCAAGGCTGTGGCCTGAGCAGCTGGAAGGATGGAGGGGCTGTGGGCCGTGATGGGGGCCCTGTGGATGGAGCTACATAAAGAACAGAAGATTCAGGGGTGGCCCCCGCCCACTGAGAACTGGGTGAGGAGCTGGTGGTTCCAGTGTCCTGGGGGGCCCAGCCTCAGGAGGTGCCCGAGAGGCTCTGAGGGTGTCTCCTCCCTCCCCAGCTCCTCTGCCAGCCCCTCCCACCGGGAGCCCTCACTGCACCCAGCTGCCCTGAGCCCCGGGAGGCCTTAATGAGGGTTGTGGAGGGCATTTTGTAGTTTTGGATCAACCTTTGGCCAGCCTGATGAAGTACAGAGTGGGGGTGCCCTTAAGAACAAGAAGAGGGCACAAATCCGTGGCTTCCATTTCTACCAAGAGCCTACCTATGCCTCCCTCTTTGGAAGATGCCAAGTTGGCAGAGACCTGGAGGGGGACATGTACCCCCCATGTCTTTTTGCACGTGTCCAGGACACACCCTCCTTCCAGAACCAGGCTTTTCTGGAAGTGGGAAGGGACAGGCCCATGAGCATCATGTGAAAGAGAGCAGATGGGACCCAGTCTCCGCGAACGTCTCTTCCACAGCTCTTATCTGTAGGCCACAAACACTACATCTCAGCGACTAGGGTTACTCGAATGGAGCCAGCGTGTGAGGGTCCTGGCACACTTGGGTTTGCTCCATGTCTCTGGGCCCAGGAGGCAGGCGCAGTGCATCATGGGCCTGAGAAGCTGGACCAGGCCTGGGATAATGAAGATGGAACCCAAGAAGGCCAGCTAGCTCTAACTCCTAACCCCAGCTTAGATGATCTGAGAGCCCTGCCGTGTCATTTCTAAAGCTTTCCCCACCTCACCCCGCCCCTCTGCCTCCACAGGTCTCCCTGATAAGCCTGGTGGCCAACACCTTGGGCTTCGCCGAGATGGGCCCCATCAAGTCTCTGCGAACCTTGCGTGCCCTCCGCCCCCTGAGGGCCTTGTCGCGATTTGAAGGCATGCGGGTAAGAAGAGGCCGATGCCTTTCCACGGTGGAGTGGGGGTGGTTCTACCAAGGGGACCCTCACTTGCTGACCAGCTTAGAATCAGGTTGGTGGCTTTGCCTGACTCAGTGGGACCCGTGGCCAGAACCAGGTGGGCCTGCTGTGGCTTGGAGCCTCTGAGAGGGTCAGGGGATGGAAGCAGCTCTTCCTGGGCTCGAGGCCTCCAGCCCTGGGGGCTCTGATAAAGACTGGAGAACAGTGGACAGAAGAGACCTGGAGCCCCCGGGGTCCCTGCTGAGCCCCCCACCCCACCTGCACTCAAGGCCCTACCCCATATCACGGTCAGGGCTGCGTCTCTGTGCACCCCAGTCTCCATGCCCCCCACATCCATGGTCGGCCTCTTTGGGAAACACAGGCCAGACCCTCTCTGCTTGTAAAGGACAGTGGGGCCATGATGAACACGGCCAGCAGGAAGGGTCATGGAGCAGTCTGTCCTCTCCCCTCCTGTGTCAGTTCGCAGAGTGAAGTGGTCATCTGCCTAGTATATTACTCTGCGCCGTTTTCTTAGTACAGAATCTTATGGATTTTTCAAATGGCCAAATTTCAGCAAAGAATATCAACATGTCACTATGAGTCGCAGGCGACTCGATGGCACATAACAACAACAACAAAGAAGGGTCATCAAGACAAAAGGAGCCTTGACGGCTTATAGTCGGGGGTGGGGAAGCACAATATAAAAGTGTATATGTGTGTGTGCTTGTGGGTACATGTGCTTATGCATAGTTTACGACCAAAGTCCACATGACTTCAGGAGTCACCTGTATCTCTCATCCTGGCCCGGTAGTCACCGTCACAGCTCGCCATTTGATTGGTTGCTTTGACTCGGCTCACGCATCCAGCCAATGGATGAGCCAATAACTTATTTATGGGGCAAACCATCAGCAAGTGAATAATCTGCATAAATGCATCTTTAGGAACAAGGACGTTCTATTCCAGAGGGATGAGACGGGAGATGCTAGTTGTCAGGGATGCCTCTGCCCTGACACATGGCTGTGGAGCCGAGCCAGGGGCAAACACCAGGGTCTTCTGCCCTCCCAAAGCTTGGAGGCCTGTGAGTTACTTGACAAGTTCATCAGGGCCGCTGCAGAACCAAGCACCCTGCCTTTCCACTTGCCAGCATCCCCCCCCCCCGCCAGCACCCAGAGCCCTCTGTGCCACCCCACACATTCCACACTCAGTCTGTGTTGCAAGCATGCCCTTGGCTCATGGACATCTGGGTCTCTAACTGGACAATATTGCCCCACACCTGTCTGCCAGGGAACCTTTCTTGGTGGCTGTGATTTTAGACAATGAACATGAAGTCCTGGCTCCTTGGGGTCAGAGCAGCTCCCATGGGAGTGAGACAGGCATTCTGGGCTCCTGTGCCACCTCTCCTGGCTCTGCTCCTTCTTGGGCACGGCCAGTTTTCACAGCTCTCTCCGGACATGCCGTGCAAAAGTCCCTAGATACCTGCAGGGAGGACATCCATCCAGGTAGCAGGCACCCTGAAGTGTAACTGAGCTCAGAGAATGAGAGGACTAATGGAGTTCTGGTGGCTTAGCGGTTAAGGAATTGCACTGCTAACCTACAGGCTTGCAGTTCAAATCCACCGGATGCTCCACAAGAGAAAGATGGGCAGCCTCCTTCCATGCCATTTACAGCCTCTGAAAATCAGCTGGAGGACCAGCTATAAGTTGGTTCAGACTCGATGGTCTCATTGACAACAATGGAATGAGCCGGGGACACCTTCCTAAGTGTCTGTCCATCGGACACCTGGCACATGCAATTAAGAGACATATTGTTGAAAATTAAGGGGGAGTGAGAGAAATTGAAAGAAAATTTGTTCTTTGAGACAATTTATTCAAATATTGTAAATAAACAAGTAGAAATTTTTTTAAAAAATTTGAAAAGTTGAGATAAAGAAGAAATAATAAGTCTTTATTGTTCTAAATAGTTTTTAAAAATCACAGATGAATCCTTATTAATCATAGGGACGGGCATTTGCTTGGGCATTGCATGTGAGTTAGGGTGGCACGGAGACGTGTCCTCTCACCCCCCACCAGGGTGCCCAGCCGTGAAGTTGGCCCCTCTCTCTGGGGACAGGAAGTGTTTCAGGCAGCCCATGGCCTCCAGCCCTCCCACCCGGAGGACCTGTGTTGAGGGTGTTCTGCGTTCGGGGGCTTGCCTGTCCTGCGGGCTCCTCCAGGGGCTGAGCCTCCTCTCTGTCCATTGAGGTCGTGGTCAATGCCCTGGTGGGCGCCATCCCGTCCATCATGAACGTCCTCCTCGTCTGCCTCATCTTCTGGCTTATCTTCAGCATCATGGGCGTGAACCTCTTTGCCGGCAAGTTCGGGAAGTGCATCAACCAGACGGAGGGGGACCTGCCTCTCAACTACACCATTGTGAACAACAAGAGTGAGTGCGAGTCCTTCAACGTGACCGGCGAGCTCTACTGGACCAAAGTCAAAGTCAACTTCGACAACGTGGGGGCCGGGTACCTGGCCCTGCTGCAGGTGGTAAGTCCTGGGGAGGAGGAGCTCCTTCCTGCTGGCTCTCCAGATGCAGGTGCCTTCCTGAGGGGGCAGCCAGGAGGGGGGACAGTGGGACCATCCTCCCGGATCCTCACAATAGGAACATTCTTGAAAAGAAAAAAGGTTGTAGATTCTGTAGACACTTCTAGGCTTCTTGAAAAGTCCTTCAACATTCAGATAGAGCAGAGGCTCTATTTTCCGAGGTGCGTGGCATGGGGTGGGCAGGGCAGCACTGCGCCAGGATTCGCTCAGCAGCTCCTGGTCAGTTTGAGCTCTCTGTGCTGTTGGTCTGGCAGTGTGAGGGCATTAAACTATCCAGAGACTGAACTGTACACACACACACACACACACACACACACACAAAGGAAAGAAAGAAGGAAGGGAGGGAGAGAGAGAGAGAAAGAGAGAGAGAGAGAGAAAGAAATAAAGAAAGAGGAAGGGAGGGAGGAAGGGAAGGAAGGAAAGAAGGAAAGAAAGAGAGAGAGAGAGAGAAAAGAAGAGAAACGGAAAGAAAGAAACAGGTGCACTCTGGTGGCCTAGTGGTCAGAAGCGGCACTGCAATTCCAGAGACTGAACTGTACGCAGAATTGTGACCTTGACCCCTCTCATAAAAGCTCGTGATACCTCTTTTGTTATTTTAAGAGGATGTGTTTCTTCCCCTGTTTGAGGTGCAAGCGTGTGTACTATTTAAACTCACATGGGGCAACCCAGCCCTTCCAAAGTTTCCACTGATTGCTGAGTACTAGAAGTCACACTGCCAGTGCAAAGGCGTGCGGTCACATTCACCACCTGCCCCCACAGGAGGAACAAAGATGGGCAGACACATCCCGTGTGGTTTGCTGCCTCTGAAAACTTGCTGGAAGGTCAGCTATGAGTCAGTTCCAAATCGACAGGACATAGTCAGTGACTTCAGTGTCTGTAGCGCACCAGGAATAAACCTACCACTGGATCTGAGAGCAGGAGCGCAACCAGAATCCTCGTGCATGAGGCTGCACCCTGCTTTCCGAGCTGCCCCAGGCTTAAGTCCGTGACATATTCAAGTCCGCATGTAAGGAGGACTCCAAGTACTCTCTCCTGAGAACCTGGCCTGCATCTACTCCTCCCTCCACCCATTCCCTGGATTCTGGTGGTCGTATCCCCAAAGACCCCTCTGTAGCATCGAAGCTTGCAGCCCTCTGACCTTCCGAGATTTGTCTCTCAGACCTTCCAGATGGACTCTGAAGGATCTGCTCACAGACACCTTGTAATCTGGGGTGGTACCTAGCAGCTTCCAGAACATTTTCAGCCTCCTTTCCTTCCATGAGAAACAAAGGACACATTGTGCCGCTGACGGACAGGGAGCTGAAAGGACTGGCCTGCTCTGGGACTGTTTCCTCATCTGCTTTGCTTTCCTCTTAAGAACTCTTAGAAACAAACAAACAAAACAACAACAACAAAAAAGTGTACAACTTAGCTTGTGCCCTCAGAAGAAGCCTGGAGCAAGATTAGATTTTGTGTCAAAGATCTACTGGGCAATCACGATGACCACCAAGGACAATTCTCGGACTCTTCAGAGCAGCCTGGAGCAGCACTGGTGGTGTTGCCAGCACTAGGGTCCTGCCCCCCGCCCAGGAGCCCTCTCTTCTCTCATGGGGTGGCGTGCTCGACCACATTGTACCACTGCGGTCAGTCGGCTGCCATTGAGTTGATCCCGACTCCTGGCCACCCTGACTGAGCGTCTCGGACTGTCCGTCTTTCTCCAGTAGAACCTGTGATGGATTCAAACCACTGAAGACGCAACGCCTTCGGGCTAGCAGTACAGCACACTGCAGGCTACCCTGCCAGGGTGTTCTGGCTCTCAGGACCCGATTTTTTGCAAGTTTTGCAAGCTAGTTGCCAAATAAACGCTACCATTATCCAAAATTAAATCATGCCAACTTTTAATTAACTAAATGCTATTAAAGCACAGGTGATAAAGGCTCCGTTACATTTTATTATAATTATGCACTAGAGGTTATTTAAGCCTATCATAGCTCTGGTGGCCTAGTGGTAAGAAGCAGTGCTGCAATTCCAAAGGCACTTAGTTCAAATCCACCAGCTGCCCCACAGGAGAAAGATGAACAGTCGTCTCCCATGTGATGAAACTGCTACTGGAAACCTGCTGGAGGGTCAATTATGGGTCAGTTTTGACTCGACGGTACTCAGCAGCATCCTATCTGTACAATGGAGATGCTACTCCCTTTTTTATTATTAATTTTAATGAACATTTACAGAGACTTTGGATTTCCATTCATTCATTGTTGCACTTTTCTCTCTGCTCACCCCTCCCCGCCCCGTTCGCTCTTCTCTTTGAAAAGTAAAATTCTTTCATTGTTATACAATCCCTCCCCCCAAGTCCACTCCACTGTTCAGCCTTCATTCTGGACTCCTGTCATGACAATAATACCTAATCATATATTCCTTTTAAACAGTTCTCTCCCTCATCTGTTTCACTGCAGTAGACACTATTTATCCCCCCTACTCCCTTCCTTGTTTGAAGCTCCGCATGCAGTAATGGTATGAAGGTAACTTGAAATTCACCGTGTTGGGAGTGTTTAAACCAGAGACGCCAGTAAACACAACAGTTAGGCCTTGTTTTTCTTTCGGAAAGCATTTTCCAAAACAACACTGGCAAAAGGACTCCTTGAAAGTACAAGAGATGGGTGTGATTCCTTCAGGATTGCCTCTGGAAGTCCATGGGCCAGAAGCCACCTGGTTCTCTGAGGTGCATGACCAAGAGACACCTGACGCTGAGACAGGGAGCCCACGCCCCGTCTCTCTGTCCCTGGCACCCACTTCTAGTGCCTTGTGTGGTTAAGAGATTCCGAGTTGAATGTAGATCTGGGAACAGACCTCTTCGGGCATCCTCAGTCTCTGGTCCTCATCTGTAAGCAAGTGCTCCCACTGCATGACATTCATTGACTGTCCTCTGGGCAGACTTCTCTGCACACCCAGCCCATGCCACCACCCCCTAAATTAGAAAAGCCCTTCCTGACCTGCCAGCCCTCTGGTCACTGCTGAAGGGGGTGGTGGGGAGGCTGTGTGTTTCTTGGAGGGGGCTCTGTCCTGGTCATTTGTTCAGACGAGAGCTCTAAGTGGTCAGAACAAGTATAGCATTAAATGCCTCTCTTAATCTCTACCTTGCAGGCAACGTTTAAAGGCTGGATGGACATTATGTATGCAGCTGTGGACTCCAGGGGGGTAAGTTGTCAGGCCTCTCTCAACAGAGCACCAACTTGGTGTCCATCTCACAGCCCAGCCCACAAGGCCAAGATCTCCTTGGCTTAGCGAGCTTCCCTGAGGTGCCCAGCCCTGGCCCTGGGATAAGATGGTGTGGCTTCCCCAGAGAGTCTCCAAATTCCCTCAAATTAAATTCACTGCTGTTTAATCTCAGAGTCTTTCCCCATGAGGGTGGGTGGAAACAGCAGAGACTTGAATCTCATCTCCTTCCTCTTTGGGTCCCACCCAGTCCCACTGAGAGTGTAGGGAAGAGTGAGATGCTTGGGGTGTATTCACACACACACACACACACACACACACACACACACGTGTGCCCTGGGGCTGAAGCCATGCAGTGCTGATGGACTGCCCGAGCCCTACCTGGCACCATCATTCATTCATCTCCATCCCACGTGCCCCTGGCCCGGCTCTCCACTTGCCCAGACACGCACACCCTTCCCTATGCTGATGACCTGCCCCTGGACGCACACTGTCCCGCAGAGGGGACACCCAGCCAGCCCTCTCCCTTCACTGATGCCTGTGCCCACGTTGAACTGCTCCCCCAGGGCACATGCCTCCCTGACCCCTAGAGCACACGCAGCCCGCGTGATGTCCTGTCCCATCTCTCCCTTCAGTATGAAGAGCAACCCCAATGGGAGTACAACCTCTACATGTACATCTACTTCGTCATCTTCATCATCTTCGGCTCGTTCTTCACCCTGAACTTGTTCATTGGCGTCATCATCGACAACTTCAACCAGCAGAAGAAAAAGATACGTAGAGCTCAGGCAGCTGACCCAGGCGGGGCAGGGCTGGGCACCAGGGGACGGAGGAGCCGTCTGGTGCCAGGGCCCATCTCTCCTCCCCTGTGGGAAATAGAACGGGCCTGTTCATGATGACATGGGGTGGGGAGAGGGGTGCATCCTTGGACATAACACTCAGACCTGTCAGGATGTGACAAGGGGCTTTAGTGGAAGGCACCACCCCGGCTCTGGTCTCCCTGAGAGACGACGCTTCTGAGAGAAGCCAGAGTGAGAAGGGAGACTGTTCTCTTGGACGGTAGTCGGGGAGCTTGGTGGCATCAGTGCAGAGAAAATCTAGGCACCCAGGCCTGCCCAGAGCATTATACGAGCCACGACTGAATTGCAGGCAGCAAAGTAAGCAGACTGGGCCAGCTGAGCTAGGCAGGAGAGTAAGAGGCGCTAAGAACTAGATTTCTGGGCCCCAAAGCCAGAGAGAGCTCAGGGTGAAGGAAGAGGAGAGACCCTGGAAAAGCAGGCCTGGCGAGGAGTCTCTGAGCTCAGCTAGAGACGTGCTCTCCTCCACCTGGACTGGAAACGAAGGGTGCCCCACTGCATGTTCATCAAAAAGGGACCATCTGTGTGCCCTCCACACTGGGGCCTCTGAGGACCCCAAAATGACATGATGCCTGTCTCTCTGCACTTAGGGGGTCAAGATATCTTCATGACAGAGGAGCAGAAGAAGTACTATAATGCTATGAAGAAGCTGGGCTCCAAGAAACCCCAGAAGCCCATCCCACGACCCCTGGTGAGCCAGGCTCCTGGTTTGGATGTGGGGTGCATCCGCTGGGCAGTCACTGGGTGTCTCCATGGGCTCTGAGTTCAGCCTGGGGTCCAGTTTAGAGGAGAAAAGACCCTCTCACATGTCTGGCCACCACAGCACTTTCGGTTTCCTAGACTAAAGGCAGCTGTGAGAAGGCGTGGTGTCCAGGAGGTGCCCCTTACCCACAGGAGCCCTCTGTCTCTGAAGGAGCCTACCCTCTCCTGCCAGAGAATGGGCCCCATGGAGAGCAGAGGAGCCTTTACAGCCCCGGCCAATTCCTAGTCCCAGTTTAACCCCCACGAGTAAGCAAGGTTCTTGCTGATTCTAGAATGTCCTCATGGGTGAGGACAGGAGAAGGTGCTGGGGTCTGCCAGTCTCCCTTGACCTGTCTAAAGAGAGAGAGAGACAGTGTGTGTGTATGAGAGGAAGTACTCGAGGGCTGCGCCTTGCAGACAGGAAGGACTTCAGTAGCAAGGCCAGGAAAGTAGGAGGTTGAGCTGCAGGGCATCAGCAGGGGCCGGATGACACATGTGTGGTCCCTGCTGGGCCCGTCCCCCTGTCCCTCCTTTCAGAACAAGTACCAGGGCTTCATCTTCGACATCGTGACCAAGCAAGCTTTCGACGTCACCATCATGTTCCTCATCTGCCTGAACATGGTGACCATGATGGTGGAGACCGATGACCAGAGCCCAGAGAAGGTCAACATCTTGGCCAAGATCAACCTGCTCTTTGTGGGCATTTTCACCGGCGAGTGCATTGTCAAAATGACGGCCCTGCGTCACTACTACTTCACCAACAGCTGGAACATCTTTGACTTTGTGGTGGTCATTCTCTCCATCGTAGGTAGGTAGGAGCCCCCCTAGGTCAGACTCTTCCAAGCCCTGGGTTCTCTGTCCATCTGATGCAGGTCACCATTAATATCCTTCCCCAACTTCCTCTCGCTTGCTCACTCGCTCGCTCTTGCATACACTCTCTCTCGCTCTTTCTCTTTTTCTCTCTGTCTTTCTCTCACACTCTCTCTTTCTCTAATGCTCTCTCTTTCTCTCTCTCTCTCTTGCGTGCGCTCTTTCTCTTGCTCTCTCTTTCGCTCTCTTTCTTTTTCTCTCACTCTCTTTTTCTCTCGCTCTCTCTTGCGCACTTTCTCTCTTTCTCTCACCCTTGCTCGCTCGCTCTCTCTTTTTCTCTTGCTTTCTCTTGTGCTCTCTCTTTCTCTCACTCTCTCTCTCCCACTTTCTCTCTCTCTCTCTCTCTCACACACACACACACACACACACACACACACACCTCCAGAGAAAACTTTTCTCAAGAAAAGAGAACCAATCACCTCCCATTCTGGTCCCATCCTCCAGAGTCCCCTGGAACGCAGTTCTCTGATTTCTTGGGGACCCTTGGGATGAGTCTGGGAAAAGGGGTAGAAGCTATGGAGAAAGCCTAACTGTAGGTTGCAGGATGAAGAGACTCTTTCAGGGTGAGGGAAGTACTCAGAAGATTCTAGAGTCTAGCCACCAGGATTGGGGTCAGGCTCCTTGAGACACCAACCACCTCACGCAGTTCCTGGTGCGAAGTCAATGCCGGGGCAGCTCATACAGCGGGGGGAGCAGAGGAGAGGGCAGGCCTGGGGGAACTGGTGAGAAGCTTTAGAGAATGTGGAGGTCAGCCGCAGGAATGGAGCTGCTGGGGGGCAGGTCTTGGAGGGGTCAGAAGGTATCACACGTGAGGGCTCGCTGTGCGTGAGTCATGTGGGCTGGTCCAAGCACCGAGGGTCTGGGAGTAGAGTGAGAGTCTATGTCTAACAAGCACCCGAGGGATCACACTCCAGGAAGCCAGGGTTTAGCAAGACTGAGATCTGGTCTGAGCCGGGCCCTTGAGCTGCTCAGACGTCAGAGTCCATGTTCCCATAGGCAGGCTGATCAGCGCACCTGCCCTGGTGTGCTTGGAACACCAGGTAACAGAGGGGCTGAGAAGGTGCTTGGGAAAGGACTTGGTCACCTCTCAGGACCTCTGGGTCACGGCTGCAGACAAGGGGGCTCAGGGAGATGGGAGGAGGCAGGGTCCCAGTCAGTGTGCCCGAGTTGGCCCCACCCTCCAGGAGGGACCCCTCCCGGTCCCCTGACCCCAGTGAAGCTGGGCTGGGGAGAAGGGCGAGCCAGCGGCGGCCACAGCCTCTCATCCCTCGCAGGCACCGTGCTCTCGGACATCATCCAGAAGTACTTCTTCTCCCCAACCCTCTTCCGTGTCATCCGCCTGGCCCGGATCGGCCGCATCCTCAGGCTCATCCGCGGGGCCAAGGGCATCCGGACACTGCTCTTCGCCCTCATGATGTCCCTGCCCGCGCTCTTCAACATCGGCCTGCTCCTCTTCCTCGTCATGTTCATCTACTCCATCTTCGGCATGGCCAACTTCGCCTACGTCAAGTGGGAGGCCGGCATCGACGACATGTTCAACTTCCAGACCTTCGCCAACAGCATGCTGTGTCTGTTCCAGATCACCACGTCGGCCGGCTGGGACGGGCTCCTCAGCCCCATCCTCAACACGGGGCCTCCCTACTGCGACCCCAACCTGCCCAACAGCAACGGCTCCCGGGGCAACTGCGGGAGCCCCGCCGTGGGCATCCTGTTCTTCACCACCTACATCATCATCTCCTTCCTCATCGTGGTCAACATGTACATCGCCATCATCCTGGAGAACTTCAGTGTGGCCACGGAGGAGAGCACCGAGCCGCTGAGCGAGGACGACTTCGACATGTTCTACGAGATCTGGGAGAAGTTCGACCCCGAGGCCACGCAGTTCATCGAGTACGCGGCCCTGTCGGACTTCGCCGATGCCCTGTCCGAGCCCCTGCGCATCGCCAAGCCCAACCAGATCAGCCTCATCAACATGGACCTGCCCATGGTCAGCGGGGACCGCATCCACTGCATGGACATCCTCTTCGCCTTCACCAAGAGAGTCCTGGGCGAGTCCGGGGAGATGGACGCGCTCAAGATCCAGATGGAGGAGAAGTTCATGGCGGCCAACCCGTCCAAGATCTCCTACGAGCCCATCACCACCACGCTGCGGCGCAAACACGAGGAGGTCTCGGCCACCGTGATCCAGCGCGCCTTCCGGAGGCACCTGCTGCAGCGCTCGGTCAAGCACGCGTCCTTCCTCTACCGCCGGCAGACGGGCAGCAGCGGCCTCTCGGACGAGGATGCCCCGGAGCGAGAGGGCCTCATCGCCTACACGCTCAACGGGAGCTTCTCCCAGCACCGGGGCCCGCCCTCCAGCTCCTCCATCTCCTCCACCTCCTTCCCTCCCTCCTACGACAGCGTCACCAGGGCCACCAGCGACAACCTCCAGGTGCGGGCGTCCGATTACAGCCGCAGCGAGGATCTCGGGGGGACGTCCCCTGACAGGGACCGGGAGTCCGTGGTGTGAGCCTGGGCCCCAGCCGGCCTGGACGTGGCCAGGAAGTGCTGCTGCCCGTGGGGAGCCTGCCTGATGGGGGCTTTGGGGTGAGAGATGGGTCTCAGCTCCCCCCCAGGCTCCACACAGCGGAGTCGAGGGGGACCCCAGCCTGCTGGGGCTGCTCTTCCTGGGGGCCCCCCCACACATACCAGTAACCACTCATCAGGCAGCATCCTGGGGCTCGAAAAAAGCAACCCCATCCCAGCTGCTGAGGCAAAAACTAAGACGAGGACTGTAGATGTTGTGAATGGGCTTTCATAAATTTAATATATTTGATATTTTTTTACTTGAGCAGAGAACTAACCTTTTTTTTTCCCCCTGTGGACATGGCGGCTGTTTGCACTGCATCTTCTTGACTCTGAACAAGAGCCTCTGGAGCTTCTAGAACCGAGAGGAATCGTGTCCTCCCAGGGTGGCCCCCGCAGGCCTCTCACTGCCTGGGGTTCCCCTGTCACTTGGGTGGAGGGCGGAACCGCCTCCTCACTCACACCGGTGTGCACACTCTTCACAGACACACACAGGCCAGCACCCCCAGCCTCATGAAGACAAGCCCCACCTCCCAGCCCCGTGGGGTTCTTGTCAACAAGGCTCACCCTGGCCTCCCAGAGTCCCCAAAGTCCTATTTTTTTATTGCCTGCACGGTCAGTCCTACAAAAGAAAGAAGGAAGCTTCTAGAAGAGAGAGGACCTGGCTGCTCCTAGGCACTGAGGTGGCCTTTTCTTCTCAGGAGAGTGCGACCTCCTGCACAAGTATTACCACTGCAGACCAAGGGCCAAGGGAACCTGGAGTCCGCCTGTCCACGGCCTGATACCTTGCTGCTGCCTGGGACCCCTGGGGCCTGTACGGGCCAAAGGAGAGGAGGGCTTGGTGAGGCATGCCTGTCCTGCAGCAGCCCGCCGTGTGGCCGTCAGGCCCTCTGGGAAAGGCACTTCCTGTTGTCCCCCAGGACATGACCTCCCTCTGATCTTCCTGCTGCTGGCCATGTGGAGATGGGCCCACAGTAGCATGGACAGGGGAGATGACTCAGGCCCAGTGTGAGGGACAAGGCCGTGTGCCCACTGGCAGAGGGAGATGTGTGGCCCAGACCAGCCCTCTGATGGCCAAGCGTCCTGGTGGTGTCCACAGGAGCCATTAGGCGAAGCGTCCAGGTGGCCCCAGAGGTCTGTGAGAAGGCTTTTTGATGGGAAAAAAAAATAAACAAAAACCCATGTAACTGTTTCAAGTCCAGTTACCCCCAGTCTTCTTCAGCTGCTGACAATCCTGTTTAGCATATGCAAATCTTTTCATGTAGGAACTGTCACCTGGAGAGTGACTGTGTCTGGTGGAGCCCTAAGCAGGCAGGGGCTCCGCTGGTCCAGCTCTTCAGCAGAGAGAGCCGCCCTCCCAGTGGGCATCCCGAATGGGCCACTCAAGCCTCAGTGCCCATGCCGGGCAGCCGGGCCTGGAGGCCAGCTCCTCCTCACCTACCTCGCCGAGCTGTCTGAGGGCTGGTCGCTGTGACGCTCGTGGCACTGAGAAGGGGGCACTGCCGGCGAGACAAGTATTATGTTTCTTCCTGTCACCCTGAGTCCCCTCAGGGGGGTCCCCAGCCCTCCCCACCCTGTTCCGCGCCATTTCGTCCGCATCCCCTCAGAGTCCAGCGTGGGGCTTGGTTGTAACCATCGCAGCTCACTTCTCGGAGTTTAAAAAAAAAATCTTATTTTTGTACATCTCTGTGCTTTGCTTTCAAAGCTTGGAGAGGTGTGTGCCCTTCCTGGTCCACTCTGTCCACTACGCGGGTCGGAAGGAGACTGTGGGTTTGTGTGTGGACAGATGCTCGCCAGCAGCGACAGCAGGTGTGGCCGAGGCCAGGGCGGAGCAGACCCGACTCCTTAGCTTTCAGCACAGCCTCAGTTTCCCCTTTTCCACGATTGCACACTGACCAGCAGGAGGGGAGAGAAGGGGGAGATAGGCAGAGGGACGAGCATCAGATGCCAGATGTTGTCTGAACTAACGGAGCACTTCTCACCAAACTTCATGTAAAAATAAAAGACATATTTTTAAAATGAACCAATAAATGGCTTATGTGACCTTGTCTAGGCTTCTTTCTTGGGCTGAGATGTGAAGAGGGTTGGGATGCAGGGAGTGATGTTAACAATCACACAGGACTTGTGGTGATTTTCCCCGGAAAATGCTGGAAGCATCACCTGACCAGAAAGATTGGACATTCTGCCCACTACAAGCACTGGCTCTGTCAGGAGAGGACGCTGGGCCCTGCTTTGCAGGCCTCCAAGTCTGGGGACGGAAGGGAGAGGACCGCTCCTAGGGGCTGACACACTGGGTTTGGAAAGGGGGAGGCAGGAAGGTGCTGTTGTCCTGGGAGCGGCCCTAGGTTGGGACAGACTCCTGGGTCATAGCTACCCTCGTACCTGTGACATCTGACGCTCATGGCTTCCCTCCCTCACCTCTCCCTCACCCCTCAGTGTTCCTGTCACCATTCATCACCACCCCACAACCCCACAAAGCTCTCTGCTGGCCAACAGACTTCTTCATCTGTCTTGGGGATCTCTGACAGCTCAAGGGAACTGTCCAGATCTTCCCCTCTCCTGGTTCTGAAGAATAATCGTTATCTGGAGGCCAGACCCCCCTCCCCAGCCACTGAACCCTAGACCACCATGTCCAGCTGCCTGCTGGTCATCTCCAGAGCTGCCAAAACTGAGGCCATCCGACCCCCTAGCCAGCCTATGCTTCCCATGCACTAAATTGTGAGTACTGGTACCTCCACGTCTTCAACTCTGACCCCCAAGCACCTCTTCACCACCCCAAGCCATCCCACTGCTAATCTGGCCCTGCCAAGCCCTGCCGCCCAGAAAGGCTCTGTGTTGGCTTGCACCCCTGCCCCTCTCACCCAGCCTCCTTCTGGGTCTTCAATGTGGGGGGTTCCAGCTGCCCTACTGTGCGTTCTTCCTGTGCCAGCTAACCCATGAATAGTCCAAACTCAGCACCTAGTGGGAAGTCATCCCATCTGACTCCCAGGTCTGCTCTGAGCAGGAAGCCTGTGGGGTGGGAGAGGGCCAGGCACTCAGTCCTCCCAGGGTGGACAGGCTGATGGGGCGGGTTTCCTTGGCTTGTGCAGCCTCGCTCAGCAGTTCATGCAGCGGCCATCAGATGGCCAAGGGACCCCTCCCCCTCTGGCCCGTCTTGTCAGGGTTTTGGTGACTTGCTGCCACACCTCCCTCCTGGAGCTCCTTCATCCAGGAAACACACTCCCTTCCTGATGCCTCCAGCCGTTGCCAATGTGTGCCTGTGGGACCACCTCCGGCCTCTCCCCACCCAGGTCCCCTCGACCAGCAAGAGGCCATGCTGAGATGTCGTGCTCCTCTGGTCCAAGAGAAGCTCTAGCCCATTCGCCTACTCAATCTGGACTGGCCATGGGGCTACCATTCATCTCCAGATGCCATGGACCAGTGAGACCCGGTTCCCCAGCCACAGAGCTTTCTCAGCCCACAAAGCCCTGGTACAAAGCTCTCCGGAAGGCCCCTCACAGCCTGGGCTTAGGAAGGCTAGCAAAATGGGAATCCCAGAACACTTAGTTGTACTCACTTGAAACCAATGTACAGACCAAGAAGAACTTGTGAAACCCCCCAGAGTTTAAAATCAAGAAAGGAGTGCATCAGCATGGGCTCCTTTCTCCACATTTATTCAGTCTGTATGCTGAGCAGATAATTTAATAAGCTGGGCTGTATGAGGCTATACAACAAGAAGCTATATGAAGAAGAATGATAGGTGACTCCGCCGCCCTCAGGCCTGTCTTTAATTGTTTTTGGTGAAATATTCTTCTAGGTTGTGTAGCCCTGGTGTGTCCACTTGCTGTACAGAGGTAACTCATGGTTGCTGTGAAGCTGAACACTGTGACACTGATGTGTCAAATACGATAATGGTTACCCATGGTGGACAGTGTTTGGTAGAGCTCCCCGATTAAAACAAACTTGGAAGCAGGAGTGGCGTCCACTTCCGAAATAGCTTGCATCTGGAAAGCCTATGAGCCTGGAGAAAGGATGAAAGGTATACAGGTGTCCAGGACTTTCATTCATAGGGTCACTATGAGTTGCCTATGAGTCAATGGCACTTCACGACAACAATAACAACAGGTGCTGGGTGGGGAGAAAAGTGCAACAATGAATGAATGGAAGTCCAAAATCTCTGTAAATGTTCATTAAAATTAATAAATAAAAAATAAGAGGCTATATGAAGAAGAACGTGGCATCATCTGCAACCTGTTATTATGCAGATGACACGGCCTCACATGCAAAAAGTGAAGACTTGAAGCATTTCAAAAGAGCAAAGACTGTGCAGCCTTCGGTATGGATGACACCTCAACATCGAGGAGACAGAAATGCTCACTACTGGGCCAGCAACAGCATCAGGGAGGCACGATTGAAGCTGTCGATGATTGTACCTGAATCCATAATCAACACCCATCGACAGTATCAGCAATCAGGAAATTAAAGACATTGGAAAATCTGCTGCCAGGCGCCTCTCCAAAGTGCTGAAGAGCAAGGATGCCAATTTAAAGACTAAGGTGAATCTAAGCCAAGCCACGATACTTTCAGTTGCTTCCAAGGCATTTGCAAGTTGGACAATGTATGAGGGTGACAGTAGAATAATCAATGCCTTTACGTTGTGGTACAGAGATGAGTACATGTATTCCGTGGACGCCAGAAGAACAAACGAGTCCGTGCTGGAGGAAGTGCAGACAGAGTGCTCCTTAAAGACAAGGACGGTGGCATTTCATCTCACAGACTTAGAGCTTGTTGTCAGGAGGGGCCAAAACCATCACGCTGGGAAAGGCTGGAGGGTCAAGAAAACAGAGGAAGACCCTCAACAAGAGAGACTGATGAGGTGACTGTAACAACAGGCTCAAGCCTGACGGAGATGATGAAGATGATGCAGGAGAAGGCGAGGGTCAGACCAGTTGTCCATGGTGGACG